ATATAATATAGTATGCTTATCTGGAACATAGTTGGTTTACAGTTTTCAGAAAGAAATGATTTTATATTGCTTACTTTTATGATAGTAATTCTAATGGATGATTTGTTTTAAATTAAGTTCCAGTGTTATAAAAATAAGCCTGTGAACGTCTATATTCTGTTATGGTTGTTTTGAAATAATTGGTTTACATATATGACCTGTTGTATCAATTATTGGACATTGCGGAGTAGTATGGATTAAACTTGTTAACTGACAATCTTTTTATCATGCTTAATTTGGACCAATTGATGTTTGTACTTAATGTTTTATTATCAATTGTGGATTGTATGGATTAGTTGATAGTTATAATTTGTATTTATTCTATCAACTGCTGCATAGATTGGATTGTATGCGCCGGTATGAGACGGTGACATACCAGGAATGGTTTAGTTTCAAAATACTAAATCCAACCTGTATTGGAATAAGGGAATGGATTATGAATAAATCCTAATTATATTTATGCTAAGTCAAAGAAACTACACAAGCTGAATGACTAGCTGGATTACTTGTTATCTATGTTGAGTCAAAGAAGCTGCACAAGCTGAATGGCCAACTGGATTTCTTATGGATGGATAGGATATAATTTTAAATATATTTTTATGGTACCACGATATGAGCCTGAGTTTCAGAGTCGTTGGTTAGGGAGCGTATATGCATTGGGATGCATAGCTAGCTTTGATGATTGGATGTGTATCCTGCTAGGTCTAGGTAGTCATACCCACCTCAGGTGCATTTTGCATAGTGCCTACTAGTCAGGTTGAGACGAGCCTGTAGTCCAGCGAAAGTCCTGTAGTGTGAATATATATATATATATATATATATATATATATATATATGTACAGATTATTTAGTTATTGTTGAGTTGGTTAACATGTATATGCGTATCGAGTCTTTGCTTGGATTGTAGTAGGATAGAATTTGTTCGTGGGCCTGACCCACTCCTATTTTTTAGGTGTACGTTAGTTCCAGGCTGGAGCTTGTTCGTGTTGAGTAGAGACGGTCACTCATTCTTCCGACGATGTAAGATTTCTCTTTATGATTTAGATAGGGATTTCTTCAGTTGACATTTCAGTTTGGTTATTCTTATTAGGGGTCCACTAGAGATGGATTCCCGAGTTGTTTAAACTTTCTGTGGTTTTGGACTAATGGATTTTAAGCATTATATGGTTAAGGATTTTATTTTAGAATTCCTTCCGCTTTTATTTATTTATTTTCTTAATTCGTTTTGTAATCTGTGTTCGTTTAAATGTTAATTGTTTGATATTCCCTCGGGTTTGGGTATGGGCCTGATCAATCCGTGTCTCGGATCCAAAGGGTATCACATGGTGCATACGATGTGGGGCCAATACACGTGCACTAAGAAGGAAGGAAAAAAAAAAAAAAAAAAAAAAAAAAAAGATTAAGACTAAAAGTTACATTTTTTATTTTTATTTTTATTTTTTTTACCATGAATGAATGACATATTTCTCGTTAATAAAAATACTATTTTACATAATTCATCTAAATTTTTTTATAATTGTATTTTGATTTGGTGTTTTCAAACCTCACAGTGGAGGAAGTATGTGTGAGTCCCAATTAGGAAAAAAAAAAATTTAAAAGAGATACCTAACACTAACTGAAATATATAGAGTGCAAAGATGATTATATATACACACACACACACACTTGTATATATAATTACAAAATATTAGTAGATAAAAGCAAATTAGATCTACTGTAATTGTTCATTCTTTTTTTTTTTTTTTCAATTGACAATTTGTTTAGTTTGTTAAAATAAACAAATTCAAGATCAAATATTAAATTTTAATTTGAGAAGCGCTACAACTTAATAGTTCAAGTGTGTTTAATTATTTTGAATTATAACTTCCATAATAAATTTAAAAATTTTTATCCTTAGTTTTATCCTTTAAAAAATATATATATTAATATTAGTGAAATTACTCTTTGACTTGATCTCGAGCAATAATCATGTAAGTACCTCAAATGGGTCAGATCGGATCAAGATTTAAGACTATAAGGGTTAGTTTAGTTAGCATGAACTAGGAAGAAAAGAAAAGAAACAGTAATTTTAAAAAAATTTAATAGTTTGGTTAGCATAAAAAGGAAAGTTTTCAGAAAATTAAATTTCTCGTAACTTGTTGATTTTTCTGAAAATATTTCCTCCAAAAAACACGGAAATTTTTTAATTCTTATTAACTGTTTATTCATTCATTTCTTTCTTCGTCGATATATTAAAATTCTGTTATTACGTTACAACTTTATGATTCTTAAAATTAGGACTTTTCTCCACACTCACTAAAGAAGTAAGCTAATCTAATACTGTAGTTTAGTCCTAATATATATTGCAACCTTAATTTTTTTTTTTTAAAAAAAACTATTTAATGACCAAATTTGTAATTAGACAAATAAATAAATATATATTTATTCATAACCCAATTGTATATATATTGCTATGCTATGTATATTATTTATATTAAATTAATAAGGGTAGTTTTGGTATATAAAATCATTTTTTATTTTTATTTTTCTGCCATCCAAACTAATGAAACAATATTTTCTCGCAATTTTCTTTAAAAAAATTCATACTAACCAAATGCATAATTGAAACTAAATTTTCTTTTTCTCTATAGACCCTAAAACGAATATTAGGTTAGTTTAAAATTAAAATACTTAAGTCAGTTGTCAAATTCTTCAAATACTTCTTAAAGTCACTTGTCAAATTCTTGAAAAGCCCAGCCCCCGGGGCAAGCAACCATACATTTGCCTCTATGGCAACTTCGAGAAGGTATTTGATGTGTTCGGTGTATTGTTTATCAGAGTTGTTCGTGTTGTGCACCCGCACCTGCGAGAAATGACAGTTCTGATGGCACTAGTACACCGGATATACCGAATATATTCTCGACAACTTGAACCTTCATCATTTATTTTGAAAGGTGAAAGAATATTAGGAGATGCTAGTGCACAACAAGGTCTTTGATATTTTTTATTAACAATAAACAAATGTGAAAATGAACATTTCCGAATTAAAGAAAAGAAAAGGAAAAAAAATATTAAAGAAAAAAATGTTGAGTACTCTAATAGTACTAACTGATAACCAACTGGTTAGTGATTTAACGGTATTAGACTCTTACTTTCTAAAAAAAGGTAAGAAATTTGAACCTTGATGGAGGCATATGTGTGTAAATATCAAAAAAAAAAATATATATATATATATATATATATATATATATATATATATATATATATATATATATAGTACTAACTGATAACTGTATCCCAAGCATTCAAGCAATAAATAAATAGTCCTTATATCTCTTAATAATAAGAAATAATTATTTATTATTAATCAGAGTTACTAGCCAGAGTTTATTCCGCTTACAAATCATCAAGCTAGTTGTGGAAATTGGACCATGGGGTTTGATTTTTGGTCTAATATGGTTGGACGTTAGTCCTTTCATTGGACTACAAGTGGGCCTAAATTTCCACTTGAAATTGGACCTTAATTCAAAATTTATTCACTCTGAATTAGTTTGGATTACAGACAAATAATAAAGTAGTTGAGCGGCTTCATCCAGGCACAGGAATGCAAATAAACGGTTCACAGATAATTCATGTAAAGCTTTAACATATGTTTTAAACTCATTTAATAAATAAGTTTGAATAATTAATAGTTGGTCTCGTTAGGCTCGTAAATTTATTCACATAATTGACAATATTGGTGAACACAATTCGTTTAATTAAAAGTTATTTCGATTTATAGTTAATTTTTCTTTTTAACAACATTAATCTCATACTTGAAATGATCTCAAAATGGGATCAAAATTAATTATACAAGTTGAGCACCATCTCAAGAAGAAATGTTCAATCTTGGGTCTCGAGCTTGACAATCAAGCCTAAAATCAAATAGCCAAAAGCTTGTGTCTCAGTTTCGGTCTTTGGTTTCATTGTTCAGGCAAAGAAAAAAAATTTCGTTCTTTGGTAACCCTGGCCAAGCCTAGCATTTAATTTTTTAAGCACTATAAGAGGTAAAAGACCAAGAAGTTAATCAAAACTAACATAAAACAAAGTAATAAAAAATAATTTTTAAAAATAAAATTTAATAGAAAAAATTGCTTACCATAAAAAAGAATGAAAGACATAATTCATCTAGTCGATCAATGGTCATAGAAATAAAATGCAATGATGACGAGGATTATGATGAAAGTAGAGTTAACGGTCTAGTAGTACCAAGTTTTTATTATTTAAAAAAAGATCAAGGGTTCAAGTCTCAATGAACACCCTCAGTGAAGATATGAATGTGTAAGTTACCAACTAAGAAAATAATAATAATAATAATAATAATAACTTTGAATATATATATAATTTATTAAGTTTTTAGACACAAAATAAATGGTGAGAGTTCAAATTTTCAAAATAATAAAGTTTGTGTGAGTGATATAGTTTCTTGCCAATTGAAAAAGTTGTTGGACTCTAACTGTATCTCATCTTTGTTTCAAATAGGCGACTGATCAGATAAGGGTTAGGACGTAAGAGTCCCGTGGCCATGCTAATCTCAGCAAAATTTGCATGAAAAATTGGATTATTGCTGCTCGATCCCACCATCAACAAATAACTCTCCATGGCCCACAATCTAGCTATAAAACCTCACATCCTCTAAAGTATTCAGCATTTTTTGTGTCTTATCCGTGAATGGTCAATTTGTTATGAGGGACCATTCTAGTGGGAAAAAGCCAATGTCTCCTTTGTCCATTAACAACTGGTCCAATCTGAACTTATCTTTCTTGCATATTTATGTTTTATTTCCAATCCAATTGGAAATTTGTAATCCCAGATGAGAACAGAGGAAGGAGAAGAAGGACTTTGATCCATAAACAAAATAAATTAGAAACAGAACATGTCTTGAAGCCAAAAAAAAAAAAATTCGGAAAATATCTTGAAGCCAAATTGCAGTGACACTAGACTTAAAATCAGAAAGATTGCATTAATATTATAAGGTCCCACATCGGCCCAATATGTTATCACATCAACAAACAAGTTGGCATTCATTGGTCCAAACTCTGTCTTAAAAAGCACATGGCCCCTCAAAAACTCAACTCACATGGTTTCACAGAACACTCCATAAATAACGCTCTCTCTCCTTTGGAGAGGGCTACAACTACAGGTAGTACTACACCAACATACACACACTACTTCGCACGCTAAAAGTACATACATATATGATATATATAAAGAGAGAAGCATTGGATGCTTCTGTTCTGTGCGCTCCAACGGCTACTTTTCTCTCATAATATAGTTCTGGAAAAGGAAAGGAACCGACAACAGCTACTTTTTTGGTGTCACGGAGAGAAGAATAGAAAAGGGCTTTTATTTCTTCATTGTCAAAGCGTAAGTAAGTGGCCACTTACACTTAGGAGAAGAAGTTGAGGCGTGAGGTGTAAGTGGCCTTTGGAGACCAACTTCTTGGAATGACATCTCTTGCAGATAGAGTTGTTGCTGTTGATAGTGTTGTCAACTTTACCGAAAATGGGCCTCTTAAGGGTCCCCCAATTATGCACCAATTTGCACCCCATAGATGACTCATCTCTAGCCATTCACTTGAGCTTGCCTGCCAGACCATTACAAATCATCGCAACCTTTTATCATTAATAAAAAAAACACACAAAACAGAACCAATTGATATTTGTTGTTTGTTGTTTGTTGTAACAATCTAGTGATGTCCATCAAAACCATTTTATATTTTATAATTGTTTCAAACATTCTGCTTTTAAGCACGGTATGGGACATAAAAGTGCGGTTTGTATATTAAGCACTTATAAAGACTACGTCAAAAATAAAATAAAAAAATAAAAAGTTGAAAAGAAAAGATGTTAAAAGGTGCTTTTGACCACATTAAAACACCTTGGCACCAGTAGTAGACCATTAGAATATTGAATCCATAAAGAAGGTAGAAGATAGTTTGTGTGAAGTGATTTGGGGAAATGCTACTCAAAGTTGCAGGACCACGTGATTCCCGGACAGTTTCACATCTCGTCTCATCCGCAATATTGGGAATTGTCTACTTCTTTTGCGGTGGAAACTTCTAAATTACCGAACTAACCCATTTTATGTACTCACTAATTAATTACCATTTTCGTCTTCTTACGTCTTTGTTGTGACATATTTTGTCACGGTCACGAAGCTCCTTTTGGGTCACCGTGAAAGTTTTAACTTCTTTTGCAAATGGAAAATGAGTGTATATGACCATTCTAAACTTAGATCTGATTCACAACTTTCGAGTATGTTTGTATTGCAACCCAGGAATTCCAAAACATATACTACTATATAAAAGGTTAAAATAAGTTAAATTTGAAAAAAGAAAAAACTCAAAATAAGTCAAAATTCTAGTTGGTTGCATTTTTTTTTTTTTTTTTTTTTTTAACCATTTGCATCACTACTCTTTACAAAATACATGTGGGTATTATTCAAAAGTAATTTTCAAGATGATATATAATTGCATGAAAATACACGGTGATTATATATATATATAAAATTTACTTACCTCTCTTATATGCATTGATCCAACATCGCCATCACCATCCTCAAATTCCACTAGAAGAGAAAGCCAGTAATTTGTTGATCCTTCATTGACTTGGAAGGCAATGTTTTTCCCGGGATATTTACATGGGGTCCTTCAATTATGAATACAATATCACATAATATTAAATATAGCCAAAATAGCAAATATTTATTTACTAATTCTTAAGTTTGGTTTAATTATATGCAACCAAGCCACTCATAAATATAATCATTGGCTATAAAATGTGAACCCTATCTCATCTGACTACTAAACATTGCGCCCTTAAAATAGAAAAGAGAGAAGGTTTTCTTGTCTTATATGGAAATGCATACCCACTATATAAAAATAATTGGAGTCTGATCAAAGTATATTTGAGATATGCAAATATCAATGTTCTGTTAAAAAAAAAAAAAAAAATCAATATTCTGTATGTCAGATTTATTTATGAGAATTCACTGAAACAATTATAATGTAAACACATAAGAGGATAAAATATTACTCCGTACAAAACAATTTTAAAAATATAATGGCACCCATAAAAGAAAAAAAATTCTTCCTCCGCCAAATTAAAAATCATTTACAAAAATTTAACTTTTTAATAGAATGAGTTTTAATAATTTTTTATTATAATGATAGACAGGTAGTGAGTGAATTACCTAAATGTTTATATTGGGTTCACAAAAAAAAAAAAAAATAATGATATTTTAACTTTTTAAATGTGACATTTATTTTAGATCAGTAAAAAATAAAAAGTTAAATTTTTTTTTTTCTTCTTCTTTGAGAGAGGTGCTTTAGTCGTACGTTCCCATTGCTAGTTGGCTGTCGGACAGTAAAAAATTGTATAAAGAAAAAATAATGAATAAACAAAGTAATAAGCAGAAACTGACAAAACGCTAAAAGCTGAACGAAGACCACAGTAAATATATAATACTGTATATATGTATATATTACCGGCGGAAAATGACGGAGAGCTCGCCTCGATCACGGAGGTGGTTGCTGTTACCGGCGACGGCCATGCGACCAAAGGCGGCCCCACTGAGATCGAAGTGAGGGCGGCTTCCTGAACAACCTGGACATTCGTCCGTTATAATGACGGTGACTGCCCTTCTGGAGCATATCGACTTGTCCAGGCACTTCACTTTGTAGCACGCACCACAACCCTCCCCTCCTTTGAACAGCACCGGACTCACCGCCCCAACTCGCGCCCTAAATGGCTTCACGTCCACCATCGATCCGTACCCACATGCCCCACCTAAGTACACACCATACATTATACATACGCACAATTAATGAGTCATGAGTGGCTGCGTGTGTGTGTGTGAAATAGAGCTTCATGAAAGAGCATTTAGTTAATTCATGGGGACGTAGTGAGAGACCTACCATCGCTTCCATCTCCATTAGGGTCACCGTACCAAGTAGCGGTGGCAGGGTGCCAATGTGGGTCAGACAAGCGGTGGAGAGGCTTGGGGGAGACGGCTACCACCACCACAACCAGTAAGCAGAGGCTGAAAAGTAGGCCAAAGGGGCGGTGACCCTCCATTTGAGTGGGTCAGATGGGGAAAGCTAGCGCTACCACTTCAGTGAGGTGGTGTCGTCAGATTTCAGTCCGGCGGGGAAACCGAGGAACCGTTAAGGAAGTATGGAGAAGGGTTGTGCCGACAGTTTTTCTTAGACTTGCAGTGGTGTTAGTACTTGGGAGTTGGGAGTCTCAGCCTTGTTTTGTTGCTCCGCTCATATATACAACTTCGTTGGAAAGATGTGTGTATAAAAGTATTTTTGCTTGGATCTCCATGTGACCCATTTTGATTTCCTTTATTCACGATACTGCCACTTTTTTTTTTGGGCCCCAGTAACCGTTAAAGCGTTAATTCCGCATGAACACACCCCGTCAGTTGAATGTTAATGAGTCAAGGACATTTTAGTCATTATCTCTATTGATCATTCTACCGTTAATCTAATCTTGTATACTTAGATTTACATGTGTACAACCTAATATATACTATATATAGAGAGAGAGAGAAGAGAGAGGGCGTGCCATGTGAAAGAGGAATTTGATTCCATCCCATGTGAATAGAAGAATCAAAAGATTATACACAGGTAGAAATGATCAGCCGATCATGTTGACTTGATGTCTTCATCCTTTGTTTTGTTCAATTAATAGTCGGTTCCAATATTTATACTCCTAGAATGAACATTCCTCTTCCATTAGAAACGTGACATTATGAATTCAGTGCTCTTCAAGTTGTTAGGTAATTAATATATAGGACAAGAAATTATATGTAATGCAGTATACCAATTATATAAGGGGTAAATTTTTTTAAAAATATTATTATATATAAAATGTGCAGAAAAAACTCATCTGATATATATAAAAAAAAAAATTCCACCATTTTTAAAATTGAGCAAATAAAAATATTTTCTTAATTGAAAAACTGACAATTGAAATTTGATGGACTTACAGCAAATTGGTGGATTGTGGTTAAAATGTTGTGTCACACCTATAGCACATTAGCAATTTAGCACATGGATTGCAAGCACTAGCCCTGAATTGACATCCACAAGAGCACAAGAGTCACAATGGTTATGATTTGCATTCAAAATGGCAATTGTTGATGGATGGATCAACGCCCCCATAATTCGTCATAATTTGGTAGAAGATGTTATTGAATGTCACAAAAGGGACACCAAATGAGTGATATATATCTCTAAATAGCTAGTGTTACATGAATAGTATAATTCATCTTATTAGCGTCTGAAACTGCTAAGGGGACTTGAAACCAATGTGAGCTAAAGTAGTGGAATAATTGATTTTTTTTTGGTGGGCCATTGAGGACAAAACTGTCTGGTCCTTGTATCTCACCCATCCAATAAATGGACCTAATCAAGAGATTCATCATTAATATGTGTGGTCTATATACGATGTAACACTCCTTATCCACAGTTCTTTATCACTAACATAGCCTAAGTTGCCTAGCTAACACCTAAAAAATAATCAGATGATTGATTATTTGATATTGGAAATTCAATTATTAAGGTTAGTGATCGCGAATTGACTATGCAATTAACAGATAATTTTTAGCTTAAAACAGCGGCATTGAACAAATTAATACCATTCCGCTAATGTTCTTAAAAAGGAGATCCAAATGGAAGTGTTAAAAGTTTGCAAATCTGAAAGGCTTCTAGGGGGGTCTTTAAACTTGAAGTAATAAATAATAGAAGAGCGTGTCTTAACACTCTGTGTCATAAATTGATTAATTAAATTAAACTATCTATGAATTTTATCTTCTTATGCAGAGTGGAGCAGCATGAAGTGAATTCAATAAATGTTTAATAGAGACCACGATACGTCGTTGGAAGAGCACGTTAAGGCTTTTCTTTATATAATATGTAAACAGAGCACGTTAAGATTTTTATATATGATAAAGTATAATTAAGGTGGTAGTTAAAGACATAAAGTAAAGTAGCTATATATGCAATTGAAAAAAAGGTATTTATGATTTCATTTCCATTCAGCTTAATACAGTTACTGGTCTCGGTTGTTATATTGAATTGAATCTAATTAACTTAGACATATATTTGAATTAAGAATTTATGTTGACTAATTTTAAGGTATGGGTATAAAGTGAGAAATCCTGTTTTAGAAAGGCTACATGATGAAGCTGAGTCTGAACAGCTTGCATAGTTTTTTTTATTTTTATTTATTTATTTATTTTTTTATTTTCTACCATTTAACTTTTCTTTTATTTATTTTGCATTTTTTATTTGGTTTTCTTTTCTTGTGCTGTGGTAGACTAATCAAATTTCTTTGTGGCATGCTCAAATCTGTGCCATAATGTTTTTTATTTTTATTTTTTATATTTTGGGTAAGTAAGAGTATAATGACAAAAAGAAAATAATAATACAAAGTATACTTGGGGTCCGTTTGGTTAGACGGAAAGTTACGATGGAAAGTGAAACTGAAAGAAAGTTAAAGAAAGAAAAAGGAAATCAAGTTTCCATCATGCATTTGGTTAGCGAGAATTTTTTTCAAAAAAGTTGTGAGAAAATATTATTTTGTGAGTTTGGAAAGTATGAAAGTGAAAAGAAAGTGATTGTAGTTACCAAAACTACCCTTTTAGTTATAAGATTACTTTGTACTCTTTTGAGACATTACCTATCTTTTGAATCATGAACAAAATTAAAATTTTAAGTTCAAAATGAAACAATGAAACTGATATTTAATGATTTTATATATGTGATTATAGATACAAGTTTAATTAATAAAAAAATTTGTTCCGAAAAATATTTAGGAAAAAAGATTGAAGTTAATATATATATATTTTTAGTCATAGAAAAAAAAAAAAAAGTTGAGTCTAAACAAAATACAATTGTTCAACTATATTAGTTTGATACATCTAATATATGTAGAATTAAAATTAAATTAGTTTGGTATATCTAATTACCTAGAGTCCAAAAATCGAGAAAAGTCTATGTATAAAAAGTACATGTACGAATTAAATTGTAAATTATATGGGTGGAGACACTAATCCTAATTTTTTACCTAACACTCTGCTCTTAAATATTCTGATATATATATATATATATATATATATATATATCACTTTAAATCATTATTAACTATAAAAAGAAAAAAATATAATAAAATTTTAATTTTGTATGCACATATAAAACTATATACAATTAAAATAGTATTACATTATTATATAAACAATTTACAATAGAAGGGAATTGTGATACCCCTCGATTCTAGAACCACGAGTGATTAAGTCCGAGCACAGATCCGAGGAATATTAGACAATTAATATGTAACCAAACAAGAATAAAGCTGAATTAAGAATAAAATAATAATGAGCTGAAAGAAACTAAAATGAAAATCCTCGAATCTTAAATAATAAATTAATATAATTTAAATCCGTACAACTCGGGAATTCACCTAGTGGACCCCTAATTCCAAAACTTAAATAAATTTACATAATTAAAATCCAAAACTAAAATAGAAAGGAAATCCTATGTAACTGGAAGAGTGAGTATCTGTATCTACATCAACACGATCAAACTCTAAGCTGGAATTGGCGAAATACCTGAAAAATAGGAGTGGGTCAGGCCCACATGCAAGTTCCAATCTACTACAATCCGTACATAAACTCGATATGCAGATAGCTCGGCAATATCTACAATAGTCCATAGATATATAAATACACACTATAGGATGCTCACTAGCCTATAACATAGTTCAGCCTGGGTAGAAGGTGACATATAAAACACGCTTTTCAGCGGCCAAGTACCTAGACCTACCAGGGAACATTAGCTATATCCAACTACTCAACCTTTGCGATATACGCACCCTAACCGTGATCAAGAGACTCAAGCTCGTATCACGGTACCATAAATATATATATATAAATTCCTTCCTAGTACAGAAAAATAAAACAAATATCCATTATGTCGTTCAACTGTTTTAGTTGATAGGACATGCATCCATGTAGGATTTAACTGTTTTAGTTAATCCATTCCTTATGTATGAAGGGGTAGGACTTAGTTTTTTGATCTAATCCATCCCTGATATGTCACCGTCCCATACTAGTACATATAATGCAAATGATCCTTGAATGATGCAACATTTTCAACAGTTCATCAAATCATACCCACGTAATCCAAATAGTTGATATACAGAGTTTAAACAGTTCATCAACTTGCAATCCAGAATCCATCCATGTAATTAACGAGACAAAATTTAATAATTCATCAAGTTAAGATCCAGTATCCATCGATGTCATTGACAATTTAATTCATTTAATTAAATTTCAACTAACCAATAGTACAGTCTAGCAGTTGACAATATTAACAATAGTAAGAGTCAATTATAAAGCTGAGAATGCCAAACTATAACACAAAAAAATCCACAGTACTAACCAATAGTTGCTGAAACATAAAGAACAGTTTAACCATTAAAATAATAATCTCCATTTAATTAATGGAACCTAATTTATTAGTTCCTTAATTAAAATTCAACCTATGCACAAATAAGGTCTAATAAATACATGACCCTATTCTGTATCTAACATAGATTTTAGAACCATCCTCCAGTCATCTAAGTTGCTAAATTAAATTTACACAACTAGATACTTTACTATCGCCAACAATGTGCGTCATTACTTGAAAACTCCCACACTGTGAAAACCCTTAGCATATTAGGATAAATTATTCATGATGAGTTCTAATAAAGCATAATATCATATTTAGATTCCATGCAATAGTCCGTTAAATTTTTAAAACAAGACTTAGCGAATTAGACCTTCCCATCCGTTAACAGCGTACAAAGTCGCATATTTTTACCTTGTACCGTTGTATACTTCCCTACAGTTAATTCCATGAGTACTAAGACATTAATTTATTAGAAGTGGCTCTAATATAGCATGGTGTAATGTTTGGAATCCATGTTCCAACTCTTTTAATTGCTAGACACAGTTTAAACAATTAAACCTTTACAATCCGTTATGTCCGTAAACAGTCTGCGACTTGTCTTAGAATTTCCCACCGTTTAATACATTAGCATATAAATAAATTAATGCATCCTAGGGCTCTAATATTTCATGAATTAATATATAACTTCACTCCCATGTACGAGTTCAACTAGCTACAAAATCCGACTATCGCCTCCAAACCGTGAGCACTCATTACCAAAAGAGAACATGGTTCTCCAATGTATCCTTACATAAAGTCAAGGTCTTATTAGATAACCTCGCTTT